TCAGTTTACAGCTTATTTTTTTTCAGTCTATTAACCATTTTTTTTCAGTGTGAAAGTTCTGATTTTTGCAAAGTGAGTCTAATTTACTGAGTTTTCTATTATTAAAATTATTACATTAATTTACTTACCTATTTTGTGAGTTTGTGCCTGGGTGCATGTGTGCCATTGGTATATGTGTGTGTGTAGGTCAGAGGACAAATTTCACGTTCAGTTTTCTCTTTCACCATGTGGGTGCTGGGTTCGAAGCTTGGCAGCAGCTTCCCTCCGGGTGACTTTCTTAATCTGAACTTTTTTTTTTTTTTTTTTACACCTGTTTTTAAATTTTTATTATTTTTATTATATGTGTATGAGCGTATTGTCTGCATGTGTGTAAGTGCACCAGTGTCGTGCAATGCCTGGGGAGGTTGGAAGGTGTTGGATTCCCCTGGAACTGGAGTTACAGATGTTTGTTAGTTGCGACGTGGGTGCTGGGAATCAAACCTGGTCCTCTGAAAGAACAGCCAGTGCTCTTAACCACTGAGCCATCTCTCCAGCCCCTTTATACACTTGGTTTTTTAAAAATTATCTATTGATTTATTTACTGATTTATTGATTTTGGTCTTTTTGAAACAGGGTTTCCCTGTAGCCCCAGCTGGCCTGGAACTCACTATGTAGACCAGGCTGGCTTTGAACTCACAGAGATCAGCCTGCCTCTGCCTCCCAAGTGCACCACCATGCCCAGTTTTACACCTGTTTTTTTTTGTTGTTGTTGTATTTTTATTTTATGTGTATGCATGTATTGCCTGCATGTAGGTAAGTGATTCCATGTCGTGCAATGCCTGCAGAGGTCAGAAGAGGTTGTTGGTTCCCCTGGGACTGGAGTTACCAACAGTTGTTAGCTGCCATGTGGGTGCTGGGATTCGAACTTGGGTCTTCTGCAAGAACAATCAGTGTTCTTAACTGCTGAGCCATCTCTCCAGCTCCTACACCCCAAGAGGCCTGAGGATAGTAGTCAATCTGAACTTTTTAATCTCATCAATATTTTTGTGCATCAAGTGTAAAAAAAGGAGTGTGACCTTCTATCTGGCCACAGACTGTGGATGTCTCTGTCCTGGCTCCCCAGTACAGTCACTCTGTATCAGGTCACTGACCTCTCCTCTGGCTAAGGCCAGCCCCTGCACACTCCCCCATAATCTCCTGGCCAGGCAGCTTCCTTGTCTCCCTGTGGCAACAATACAGTAGCTGTTGACTCCATGGAGCAGTGAAAGTAAGGACCAGCTTTCCCTCCTGCGACCTAAAGGCCACATGGCTAGACATCAGCAGAAGGGAACACTGACATTTCTACTTGATATGAGGAAGCAAGGCTCATGAGAGGGCACCAGTCCCTCCCTCCCTTCTTTTTTTCTTTCTTAATTTTTATTTTTTTAATTTTGTGTATTACTTTTATTTTATGCGTATGCGTGTATTGCCTGCATGTAGGTAAGTGCACCCGTGTCAATGCAACACCCGAGGAGGTCAGAAGAGGCTGTCGGATCCCCTTGACCGGAGTTACGGACAGCTGTTAGCCGCCATGTGGGTGCTGGGATTCAAACCCGGATCTTCTGCAAGAATAACCAGTGTTCTTAACTGCTGAACCATCTCTCCAGCCCCTCACCAGTCCCCTTCTTTGAGACACAACAGAACATCTCATGGGACATGTGAGGATGCAGGCTCAGTCCTGCCACACTCCCTTCAATAGTTGTGTAAATCTTCCCACCTGTTCCTGGGGTTTCCACTCACAGATGGACCACTTATAAGTTGCCCACCCAACTGGAGAAGGCAGAATTGAGAAATAAATTTAACAGAGGTGGGGTCCTTGCCTCCAGGCAGTTGTGAAGGAGTTCTAGGACTCCCCCATGGCAATGCATGTCTGTGGGGTGAGGCTGGGCTACATATGCACTGTTACCTGTCCACTGGGGATAGATGGGAGACTCAGGTGGGCAAGAGGAACAGTGAGCTGGAACCAGTCCTTATGAGGTCTGGAAGCCCCATGGGGGAGCTCAGGAGAGATGCCCTACCCGCCCCCCCCCCGAGTCCTTGGAACAAATGAGGGAAATACGCTCCCTTTGCTCCTGTAGCCCCCCCTCCCCTGCCCCTCAGCCTCCCTCTTATGCCACTCTGCACTCTGTCCTCACCCTCATAGCAGTCACGGACGGTGCCGAAGTACACGTAGTACTGGTCGTTGGTAAAGAAGAGGAGGCTGAGCCACGAGTCAAAGGCATAGATGGGCACGATGAAGAGGATACGCACGATGTAGCGCTGCTCATTGGGGCGGCTGTAGCAGCGCAGGTGCATGTAGATCTGTGCAGAGGGAACTGGGTCAGTCAGAACCTACTGTACCACACTGCCTCCCGCCCCATCCAAGGGAAGAGGCTGGCTCTCGACTTCCATCTCTGCCCTTCTTTGTTCCAAGGCCTGAGGCTAGTGACCCACCCTGAGCTCTATAAATGCAATAAGAAAACGTCCATCCTGAGTCAGGCCCAAAGGGCTGCATAAAGCAGTCATCCACAGGCCACCTTGCAGCTAGAGGGGCAGTAAGGCCACAGTGTTGAGGTTGGAGCCCCCGCTGCCATTCCAAAAGCGGGGTTCCTGGGGTCTTACAGCAGCAGCACTGAGTTAACTGAGGGGCTAATCAAGGATGAATCTGCCTTAACTGATGGTAGGGAGGGTGGGGCAGACAGGAAGGAGCCTTGCTTCTGGGTACACTTCCTGGCTTCAATGACGTGCTCACGTTGAGCCTCATTCCCCATCTGTTAAACGAAGGCAGCACTGCAGCATCTTGGGAAGGGAGGAGAATGCTGTGTGACTGTGAGAAGGTGAGACGGTAAAGGCACCACACAACTGCCAAGATCAGTCGCCAGTCCCAGCAACACCGGGTGCCTGGTTCTGACTCTCATGACATCATTCTTGGCCCAGCCCAAGCCTGGCTGGAGAGGAAATGAACAAAATATTCCCCAACCACTGTGAGCCAATCATCTTGGATGCTAACAGATCTGAAAAGGACTGAGAAGCTGCTTGGGGTCTGAGCAGACTCACCCAGCCCTCTATATCGGATAGCCATCAAGCCTCCTCTGGGGCCACAAGGATAGCAGACAGGAAACTTAATGTCTGTTCTCGCTCTACCACCCATTTGACCAGGTCAGCTCCTCTGCCACCCCCGTCTCAGGTTCTCAAGCCCCTCTTCAAAGGAGTCTCAGACATGCACCCACTGCCGTAGCTTTGGATAGACATGAATGTGGCCAATGGCTGATGAGCAGAAATAACAAGCATCACTAGATCGAGGTAGACAAGTATCTGGGTGTCTTTCCCACGCACCTGCCACTCTGACTGTCAGGAGTAAAGAAACATGACCCCAGAGCCACAAACCTGAACTTGACCTACTCTCAGCAGAGCTGGGATGCCCGCAAGAAATCACCTAGAACGTAGTTTTCTCATTACTATTGCACAGCCTTGACTGCCTAAGCTACTCTGTGTTGGACTAGAAACCATGTCGAACACTTATAGAGGTCACCCAGGTACCTGGTGGCAGGTGATGAGCAGAGCTGTCCACACAAAGAAACCGGAGATGGCCTGGGCGGCAGTGGTCATCAGGAACACAGGCTGCTCCATGGCCGTGGGACTGCCCTCGGGGGTCGCTGAGATGCTAGGCGAAGCTGCTGCGGTGGTGGGTGATGCTGGGTCTGGGGCCAGCGCAGCCCCCCTCACTGTCATGGTGCCCAGCAGCAGTAGGCTCCCTGAGAGAATCCCTTTCAGTGAGTGACAAGCTGGCCTAGAGAGGAGATCCAGGTAAGTAGAGGCATTGGAAATGACCTTTCATGTCTGCATCACCTTCCAGCCATGAATCAAGCCCACCCAGACAGTACTCTGACTCCGACATGCCTCTGCCATTGTCCCGCCATCTAGGCCATACACAATGACCTTGTGACCCTCCTGAGAACGTAGCCAGACAGGGACCCTCCTCTGCCAAAAGTCCCCAACAGCTCCCAGCTGCTTCCCCAGGAAGTTGGAAGACTGATACATGATGAGAATCCCAAGGGCAAAGTAAAAACTTCATACAACGGCAAAGTATGGCTTTGGCCCGCCCATTGTCCCAGTAGCCCTCACTCTGGCCCACAAGATGGCCCCATTGGCCTCTTGCTCCTTTTAAGACAAGACCTTGCTCTGTAGCCCTGGCAGGCCTCAAACTCATGATCCTCCTGCCTCAGGTCCTTGTGTGCTGGGATTACAGGGATGTACCACTCTGACCTGGAAAAATCATTTCATCACTATGGTCATCTCCCTGAAGGGCTTGTAAGTTTTCCTTTGAGATTTCTCTCCAATTTCCCTAATTGCTGAGAGCCATTCCTTATTGCCCAGCTGTGCTATTTTGGAGACTTTATGGGTCTTTCCCAATTTGCTTATCTTCAAACTACTCCTTTTTCCCCCTCAGTGCTGGGGAAGGAACACCGGGCTTCACACGTACTAGGGACGCCCTCTACCTCTGATCTACACACCAGCCCCAAAGCAATCATCTTTTAACTCAGCTTGGGCATCTTCTTTCCCGTACACCTCCCCAACTAGAGATTCTAATCTCTTTCACGACATGCTCTTATTGTTCTATGGAACACATGGCCTGTGTTTTGCCTATGTATTTTCCTCCTGCTCGATCTGAGGTACAACTCTATCCCTGTCTTTTAATCTCTGGCAGCACTAACTTCATTACTGGCTTTCATTTGTATTTCAAAAAGAATGTGAAGTGCCTCACAACAAGAGAGAGAAGTCAGAAACAGGGCAGAGGTGACGAAAGTGTCATCGAAGAGATTTCCGGTGGGAAGGGAAGATGCGAGTGGAAGGCACCTCTGTGGGAGAAATGCCTTTCTAGAGATGGGGCTGGGGTACGGCAGAGCTTCCTAGGGTTGACCAGTATTCCTGGGAACAAAGGACAATTTCGTATTAAGTAACCCAGACATGGCCTAGAAAAGAGCTATTGTCAGATCCTCCCCAGATGTTTACAAATAGGGATCAAGGCCGGGTCAGAGATGGGAGCCATTTTCAAAGAGCAGCTCTGTCAGGATCATTTGAAATGTACTCTTGGATGTATGTAACACCCCACCCTGATTCCCAAGGCAATGCCATTAAGAGGTGGGTTTTTTGTTTTGCTTTATTTTGGAGGGGTGGGGGTTGAGACAGGGTCTCCCTGTAGCTACAGCTGGCTTCGAACTCATTATGTAGACCAGGCTAGCCTCAATCTCAGCAATCCACCTGCCTCTGCCTCCCTAGAGCTGGGATTAAAGGCATGCACCACCACATCTAGCAAGTGGTGAGATCTTTAAGGGTGATTAGAGGGACTAGAGGCCTCATATGAGACCCCTTGCCTTTGCAGCCATGTGAGGACACAAGTAAGGAGAGTGGCCCCCCACTGGACACTGCTGGACCAGCACCTGGATTTCAACTGCCCACCCTCCAGAACTGTGAGAAGCAGGCAGGTAAGTTCCTGGTGTTCTGTTACAGTGGCTTGAAAGGAGGCCAGGAGGCCGGCTGCTCCCCCTACCCCAGCATTGGAGCCTCATGAACCTCATCCTCTTCTGCACTGCCACCTGTTGACAGAATGGTCAATGCCATGCAACCAGCAGGTGACCTGGTGGGCGGAATGCCCAAACCACGGACTATGGCCATGACCCACACCGCAACCAGCGCCAGCGCACAGCAGAGAGAGGTAAATGGAGAGACCTTGCAGAGTGTGGATACCTGGGAAGCAGCTTAGCAGAAGCTTGAGTCCCAGCTCCACCATCAGCCCTGTGCCTAATGCAGGCTCACTGGGCCCCAGAGGGTCTTTGCTTCCCAACCCAGAACATGGCCAAACCCAAACACAACCATGTTCACATAAACTTAACATCAGCCCAGGTGACCAGCCTCACAGTCCTTTCCAAGTCCTCAAGCTGATCAGGCCAGAATGTAGTGACACCTGCAGGAAGTTCCCTTGGTCTTTGCAGGGAATGAATGGCTCCTGTCTGCCCTACAATCCAGAAGCCACCTTGCTGTCCACCCATACTTCCTGCCTTGGTCCTGGCTCCCCACCAGCATTTCCAGCATCCTCTGTCTCTATCTCCTCCACCTGTCAGATTCTGCAGAGTGCTGGGACCCTTACAGTTATTTTCCTACATGTAAAGGATCCCTAACCAACCAGGAGACATATCTAGATTAAAGACAAAAAATGGCACCTAAATTAAGAAACTCAAAAACAGAGAAGGTGTCTATATAAAGATTGGTGGCAAGCTCTGAAAAAAAAAAAAAAAAAAAAAAAAAAAAAAAAAAAAAAAAAAAGACCCAGTGACAGTCTAATAATAGCTCCTGTAAGCATGGTTTCAAAACTGAAAACCAGTGCCAGAGACATTTAAAAGGAAGATTTGAGTTGTAAATCAACATCTTTGCCTATCATCCCAAATTAAAAGAATAAACACCGGGGGGGGGCAGAGGAAGTCCAACTCCCAAACTTCAGCATTTCCCCAAATACTCTCTCATGTTTTTTTTTCTTCCTCACAGCAACTTTCAAGGAAGTGGCATTATTTACATCTTGGAAATGAGATTGAAAAGAAAAAAAAAAAAGATGTGGAACTTGATTTTACAGCCCCCTCCCAAATGATTTGAGGGCTTCTAGAACATTCTCCCACACAACAGTTGAAGCAACTCCCTAATAGGTATGGCAGCTCCTCCACCCAGACTGCAGACATGGGTCCAGTCTGCCCCATGCTAAGCCCTGCAAACTGCTCACAGCATGTGCAGAGAGAGAAGAGGATGGATACTGGGTCCCACCCTTTCACACCTATAAGCAGGGGGGTCTCTCTGGGAAAGAGCTCTTGCCTGTCTAGGCCCCATAACAAACAGGGTATTGGCCTGGCTCAGCCCCCAGGGCCTTGGAGAAGCAGGGATGACTGTGGCTGGAATCACAGAACTGGTCCTACCTGCTCTCCTCGCCAGGGGAGCATGACCTCTATGTCCCCCGACATTTTCAAAGCATCCATCCTCCCCAAGGTTAGAGGAGATGCACACAGCAAGGCTCAGAATTGCTCTGGCAGATTCCCATTCTATTGGGGGAGAGGTATACAGTCATGTGAGTGCAGGTACACATATGTGCGTAGGTGGGCTTGCATGTACTTCTGGTTGGTTTTTGAGACAGGGTCTCTCATTGGGTTGGGGCACTCCAATTCAGCTAGGTTTAGAGGTCTTCCTATTCCTGCTTCCCCGGGGCTGGGCTTACAAGCACTGCACCAAGCTATCTATCTATCTATTTATTTATTTATCTATCTATCTGTTTATCTATTTAACATGGGTTCTTGAGATCAAACTCAGGACCTCATACTTGTTTGGTAAACGCTTTATGGACTAAGCCATCTCCCCAGCCCATGTCTCCCATTCTTAACAGGTCAAATGTTCTTTTGCCAGGGACATGGCAGAGGTTTGTGGGAACACACTAAAATCACCTCTCTAAGAAACATGTCCTGAGGTTTCTGGTTCCTTCTGGCCTGGGAAGACCCAGTCTTAAGTCATGAGAAGCTCACAGCCCATGTTCCTGCACCCAAGACAGTGAAATGTGGAGGTCTCATCCTGCCATTCTGCTGAGAGATGAGAGCAGGAGATTGGTGTGGGCAAGGCTTCCAAGGGGTGGAGACTTTCCAGCATAGTCTTAACAGCATAACCAAGTTTAAGCTCTGAAGGCAATAAACAGGAGTCCCACCAGACTGCCACCAGCAAGTTCATGCAAGTGAGTCCTCAAAGCCTCTGTTTCTTCATCTATAGTATTTCAGGATAACTATATAATTCACAAGGGCTGGTTCGAGTTTACAGAAGTCCCAGTAATAGACTCACAGAATTAAAAGTGACCATCTCAGGGTCAGTGAGATGGCTCTGCAGGTAAAGGCATCCAGCCTGACAAATCTGAGTTCAATCCCCACAAGTCACATGATGGAAGGAGAGAACTGATTCCACAGGTTTTCTTATGTCCCCCATATATGTGCAGTGGCATATGCATTCCCCTCTCACATACATACAATAAACCAACAAACAAATAAAGGTAATAAAAAGTGACAATTTTAGCCAGGTATCTCAGCATGTGTAAGGCAGAGGCAGGATGATTGAGGGTTGGAGTAGTTACATAGCAAGATCCTGTCTCAAAAACCCAAATCAAACCAGTCAACCTAATGCAAATTCTGATGAAGACACGATGACAAGAAATCAATTAGGCCCTCCAGACACAGAGTCAGCATCATTGCAAAGGGGTGGTGGCTTGATTTGAAGCTCTGTTTGGCTAGTGCTGGAAGTACCCACGCCACCTTGAAAGGACTCTTGCCAAGTATGAACTGGAATCTAAGCAAGCCTCCACAGCTAATGGTCAGCACCCAGGAGGCAGGGCAGAGGGGGAGAGGGCACCTCGCCATGAAGACGCCATGGCTGTGCTGGGAGGTGGGGTGGGACGGTCTATGGGACAAGGCCTAGGCTCACCAATAAATCAGAGGCTGTTGTAGAATGGGAGGAAACAGTGACCCTGTTTGAGTCCTGATGGTAACAAATCAATCATTATAAGATCTCTTTGAAATAGGTAATTTACAGTAATTCTTGTCCATTTTGTGACATGGTAAGTAAGTAAAAATAAAATTCCTTGGGACTAGATAGATGGCTCAGCAGTTAAAAGCACTGGTTGTTCTTCCAGAGGACCTGGGTTGGGTTCCCAGCACCCGCACGGTGGCTAGCCACTCTCTGTAACTCCAGTTACAGGGGTTCATCACTCTCTTC